TATTTGCTCAGGGGTGACGGCTAGTCTGAGGGCCTAGGAGGGGGGTTGGCATGATAATGACTGAAAGGCTGTTTGCCAAAGTAGAAGACTGGGATCCAATCTCTTCAAAAATAATAGTGGCAAACATGGAACTATCAATAGGAGTTAGTGTTGTGCAAGTGTACTCCCCAACCGAGGCTGCCGATGTTCTAGATAGGTAACAATTGTATGCAGATCTAGAAAGAGAAATTATAAGAGGTAAAAACCAAAACAGAGCCATTATTCTAATGGGCGACCTAAATGCAAGGATTGGAAGGGACCATTCTACAGCACACGGAGTAATGGGACTACATGGAGGTGAGCATACCAGGAATAGAAATGGTCAGAGGCTCATAGAACTCTGCATAGATCATGATCTTCTTATTGGGAACACCATGTTTAAATAAACATAAACTAGTCCATAAGATCACATTTTCTGCTGAGGAAAGAAATGCAAATAGCATTATAGATTATTTTATGTACAGCAGAAACATCAGAAGATATTTTAGAGATGTAAAAGTCATAATAGGGTCAGGCCATTATCTCTTGATTGGAGACACTCAAATTCCCCAACCTAGGAAAAATTTTAAGAATAAATAAAAGAAAATAGATATTTCAAAGTTAAATAGACCAGGGAAGAAAATAGAGTATGCCAAACTCCTGACTCAGAAACTCCAGAATTTCACAATGGATAGAAATGTGGACAGCAAATGGGCAGAAATGAAAAAAGCTATCCTGGAGACAGCGGAAACCACATGTGAAACTGCAGCGATCTCCGCTAAAGCAAAAAGAACAAAGTGGTGGAGTGACAGAGTTAAAGCTGCAATTGCAAGAAAAAAGCTGGCATGGAAAGCATACTGTAAGACCAAAAGTGCAGCAAACTGGGAACTCTCGAGGGAAGAGCATTTTACTAGCTTTTCTTGATATCAAGGCGGCATTTGATTCGGTCCCTAGGCAAGAAATATGGGCAAATAATGTACCCAATGCACTAATAGATGCTATAAAATCCATGTATCACAACACAAAGGGCATAATAAGAATAAATGGAAAAGAATCCGAACCTTTCGAAATGAAAAAAAGATTAAAACAAGGAGACAGCCTTAGCCCTCTACTGTTCATCATATTCATGGATGAAATTCTAAAAATATGCAAGAGGAGGACAGCATGGACAGCTGTTGGAAAGTGGAATATGAGGGCAATTCTTGCTCAGGCTATAGTTTTTGCAGATGACATTGTTCTCATAACAGATTCAAAAGAAAATCTGCAGCAAGCAATCATAGAGTGGGAAGCTGAAGTGGATAAAAAGGGAATGATGCTCAATGCAAATAAGAGCAAGGTAGTGTGTATAGGACGAAATGAAGAAAAGGTGGAGGTCTGATGAAGAGGAGAAATCCTAGAGAAGACTGAGGAATATACCTACCTAGGTACAGTCATCAGCAGGAATGGAAAGATTGATGGGGAGGTTTCCAACCGGATCAAAAAGGCAAATAATGTCTACTACCAACTATGCAACACAATTGCTGAAAGAGGGAAGTGGACAAAAACGTGAAGCTGCACATTTTCAAGGCAATATACCTAACTGCTCTTCTCTATGGAAGTGAAAGCTGGATCCCACTGGACAAGCACTGGAGCCGAGTAACAGCTGCAGAAATGAGATACCTGAGGAAAGTGGCTGGCCAAACCAGAAGAGATCTGGTCAGAAATCAGCGAATACGAGAGAACCTGGGAGTTTCAGCTGTAAAAGAGGTAGTTGAGAGGAGGCAGCTGAAATGGTTTGGCCACCTTTGCCTAATGGAGGAAGATAGGGATCTAAGGGAAGTACTTTGAAGCTAGGCCAACTGGAAGACGTCCCCAGGGCAGACCTAGGTTAACATGGACGGATCACATCTCCAAGCTGGAACAGCAAAGAGGACGCGTGCTGAATGCCATGAAGGCGCTGGCCAGAGACTGGGATGCGTGGCTGCCATGGACTGAGGCACCTCCACGCTGAAAGACACAAGGAGGAAGAAGAAGAAGAATCTTTAGACTCATTTGGTCTTTCCGGTAACATTGTATCTTTTATAAAAAATTTCCTTGGCTATCGAAAGTTCAGTGTTCGCGCCGGGTCAGTTTTTTCAGATCACTTTGACTTACACAATCTGGTTCCTTAGGGATCCGTTTTAAGTCCAAAACTTTTTAACATTGCTATTAATGATCTAAGAAATTTCATACCTAAACAAGTTGGCCTTGTGTTATATGCAGATGACATTTTGATTTATTACAGCTCCACCGACATTAACTTTATACAATCTGTAATGCAGGAAACTCTTCACAACCTAGAAAAATGGGCCTCCAGTAGTGGCTTAGCTTTAACCTTAATAAATCAACCGCAGTATATTTTTGTCGCCTTCGGAAATGTGTCCAACCATTTTCAGTAAGCCTACGAAGTCGTCAATTTAATAAGCACGACTTTATTCGCTATCTTTGAGTTCCCTTTGATTCAAGACTATCTTGGAAAGTACATGTCAAAGTTGTCAAAAAGATCTAAAGTAATCCAGATACTCTCCTGTACAACTTATGGCAGCGATAGAATGTACTCGCAGAGACTCTATAGGTGTCTCATAAGACTGGTGTTTGATTATGGTTGTGAAGTTTACAGAGATGCCTCAAAGAGGATACTGAACCAATTAGACCCAATACATCATGCAATGATCTGCAGGGCCCCTGGGGCGTTCAGGACTAATCCTATCAGCAGCTTACTCTGGGAGGCCCAAGTATGGCCATTGGAACACACGTAGATACTATCTTTTGCTTAAGTTTCTAGGCCGCCTAAAAACCAATCTCGACTTTTTCAGTTTTTCACACTTCCATTTACCTAATTGCCTCACCAGCTTCCCACCACTTTCTGACTCATATTCGCTACCCAAGTTTTACATATGTTCACCTCACCCATTACCTCCTTGGACGTATAACAAACTTAGTTTTGATTTCTCCCTTAAATCTGTTGCAAAATCTATTAATCCTCCCAAAATTATAAAACAAATTTTTTTAACTCTTAGCAAAAACAAAGAATTTACGCAGATTGATCAAAACATCTAGATCGTGTGGGCTGTTCGGTTGTGCCTCCCACAGAAACCATCTGGTTCAGTCTTCCTTCCATTTATTCCGTCTTCTCATCCGAGTGGTATGCCATTTATCTCTCCTTAAGTCTTATTAATAAAATAAAAAGCACTCACATTGTAATTTGCAGTTACTCATATTTGGCCTTTAAAGGAATACAAAATTTTCAACTCTCCAATAACCCCATTGTATTTTCCATAACACAACTAATTTACAAAACAAGCAAATTAATAAAATTTCTCTCCCAGTCATGTCGGAATACCTGAAAATAAACTGGCTAACACAAATGCCAAAGAAGCTTGCACCATATTTCCAGAACCTGCACTTAAAACGGTATTATACGATTTCAATGCAGACGTGCTGAATCATTGCAAAGAAGCATGGCGCTACTTTTGGTCCAAGGTCCCAAAGACTAACAAAATGAAAAACATTTATGAAGATACAGAGCCACTGCCTCAGATAATAGGGAACCGTCGGGCGCAAACCATAATTTTTAGACTTAGAATAGGACATACTAGGCTGATGCATGGGCACCTCCTTGAAGGGAGTCCTTTTCCAAGATGCAGCAGCTGAGACACACCTCTAACCATCGAGCACATCATGGAAAACTGTCAGCGCTTATGTTCTTCTAGAATTTCTCTTAGATTATGGAGCTATCACCAAGCTTTTGAACCGGAAAACCAGAAGAACTTGCTGCGATTTTTGAAAGATAACAAACTGTATAAAATTATTTAAATTATGTAACAGGAATATGGTGCCTCTAACCTTTGCTGTTGTACATGGCATCTTAATTTAACTAAATAAATAAATATAACTATATTTTTATAAAGGGAAGTGAAAGTAAAAGTTATAGACAGTACAACATAATCATTCAATACAATTAATTATCAAAAGTTTTTTGCAAACATCTAATCTGTTAAATTTATGCATTTTTTCTCAGTGTTAATTTCCTTTTTCAACATTTTAATTTTTTACTTAATTATAAGGATGCCACGTATTTTATTTAGTCCAGCAAAGGTGCTACAAAACTGTTGTAGCCCAATAAGGGTGGTGCGGCAAAAACAGTTTGAGAACCACTGGTTTATAATATAGCACATAGGTGGAGAACAAAGGTAAACATGGACACAGTTCCATTCAAGCCCAACCTCAAGGTGATTAGGTTTTACGAAGAGATTCCCAATTTTTTGTATGTTACCTTTGTGAAACATGAGGCCCTGGAAATCAATGTTAAATAATTATCACTCACCCCTTAAATGTTCTTCAATGAAGAGGACTAATCAAACAATCTGTGAATGGTCGTTCAACCTTCCCTTCGATTCCAGAATTCTGTTGCTTAATGGATGGTCCTCCTGCAGGGCGGACGATCATGCCCCAAATGTCAGTCAAGTGTCCATTATTATCTGGATTAGATTACCTTGAGTTTTAAATGCATTCAAGAGGCTATGATCGAATTAAAAAATATATAATTGCCTAGAAAGAATGTCTACTATTCAGTATTGGAAAACTAGGCATTGAAAACAATTTTGTTTTTATTTCGGACAGCGGTCAAAAACACAAGGCATGAAAATAAAAATACAACTTATCAAAATGATTAAAACCCACCTCAGAATCTTGACCTTAATCATATTGAACACTCGGGCAATTTGAAAAACAGAGTGCTAAAAGACGATTTTGAACATTAAGGAAACATAACATTTATTTTGGCATTCCAATACTTTTTACACTTGTAGTTTATTCACCTCAATTATTTTGCATCCTTGTTTGTTTGTTTTTTTCAGTTTGATATATATGTTGTTAAGATTTAATTTTTTAAGAAATATTTTCTTAATTATTTTGAGAATTAAATCTGTTGGAGGAATTATTTAATGTTTATAATTCTACAGGTTATGAGATTGAAGGCCTAGAAAACCTACCAGATGGTGGTGCACTTATTGTTTACTACCATGGCACTTTACCAGTAGATCTTTACTATTTTATAGCTAGAGTTTACCTCATGAAAAACCGCCTGGTACAAACTGTAGCTGATAGATTTCTTTTCAATGTTCCTGGTAAGTAATTTTTAAAAATTATTTTTCATAGATATCATAAATCTTAAGAAATAATTCCATAAGAATAATTCTTAAGAAATAATTCCATATTTAAAATTAATATTTATATAATACTGATATACAGGGTGTCCCTTAAGTTGAGGGAAATATTTAAAAGGTTGATAGAGATCAAGATCTACAAAAAAGTTCATATGAACCATTACCCAATTTCCAGCAGAAAAGTAGAAAATTTAAGATTTTTTTTTTTAAGTGAGTCACGTTTTTTGTTGAATAGGAAGCAATAACTAAAATAATATTTGATTTAAATAATTAAACATATAAATAATAGTAAACTTGATAAAATTTACTTCAAACAAAAGTAGAATTTATCATTGTTATAACAATTTAAAGAGGAATATTGGATGGATAAACTCAGCTAAGTTCCATTAAAAAAAAGTCATAAATTATTTGTGATTTTTTTTATCGCCCTTCAACTGTACTAAAGTTATTCCACTTTTAGAAAACTTTCTCATTTAATAAGCTTGAAGTCCATATTAATTAAGTTAAATCACACACTGATCACCTTTGTCACCTCCATCAACACCTCGCAAATAGTACCGAGCAGCAGATATTTCTTCTCAAATGCTGCTCTAATTCCATTTCCCCAAAATTTATCGAAAACTCTTGTAACCGCATTTCAATATCACCTCCGTTTAACTCAAAATTATTAACTTCCACTTTTAAATTTAAAAAATCTTTGCTTAACTTAAAAATTTGCAAAACTATTCAAAATATTAATTTTCTCATTAAAAAAATTTCAGTTCTAACCCAATTTTTAGATCATAACATCAATCAAGAAGACATCAATAATCTCTCTGTTTGCATTTCACCTATCTTCAATTCCACTAAAGCACAGAAGAAACTAATACTAATTTCCAAGTTCAAAAACCTGTACCAAGTTACTCTTAAAAATGAAGTTTATCCTGCAGGAAAAGAAGAATGTTTAGACAATATCTCTTCCACAGACATTCCCTCCAAAGTTATTAATATTTTAAGTTTAGGATCTAATTTTTCCACATCCAACACCTCTGTCAAAATCATTCCACAACTTGTCACTGATCTCGAATATATTTACGCAGACGATCTTTTCTAACTATCTTTTACACCCACCGTTCTCCTCTTCTTCTTTTTCTCCTGAATTTTTCAAAGACCTCACATTTACCCAATCCTTCTTAAAATCCCATGACAATATAATCATAACCAGAGCTGATAAAGGCAACAAAACTGTAATTATGGACCATACAGAATATACTGACAAAATGACTTTACTCATATCAGATCGTTCCACTTACTCTCCCACATCCCGTGATCCCACCCCATCATTAAAAACCAAATTTAACCTACACCTAAAAAATCGTTTAAATTCTAAACTTATAAACTATCCTACTTACAGAAACCTGATCTCCTACAATTCAGTTACCCCCTGTTTTTATGAACTTCCTAAAATCCACAAACGTTGCACCCCACTCCGTCCGATCACTTCCAATATTAATTCTCCTTCAGTTAAACTTAGCAAATTCTTACTACCTTCCTTACAAATTCTCAGCCACAACAACCCTTATAATGTACATAATTCATTCCATCTCCGTCAACAGCTACTCTCCTTTACCATTCCAGACCATTTCATTCTTTGCTCCTTTGACGTTGAAAGTTTATTTACGAACATACCCATAGACAATGCACTTACTATAATAGACGACAATTAGCCTATCATTAAACCCCACACCTCACTTAACCGCTCCTCATATCTTGAATCCCTTCATCTTTGTTGTAAATCAGGCTACCTCACTTTCAACAGGACAATTTTTTAACCAAATCTCCGGGTTAGCAATGGGTAACCCCCTCGCTCCCGACATCTCCAACATCGTTCTTAACGACCTTCTAGACTCCATTATCCCTCTTTACCTAGACGATATCATCTTTATTCGAAAATACGTAGACGACCTCCTCCTAATCATCAATTCAAATAAAATTCCCGATATCCTATAAACCTTTAACTCTTACCACCCCCACCTCAACTTTACAGTACAATGCGGACTCAATAATTCTCTCCCTTTTCTTGACCTTCTAATCATTAAGAATCCCAATAACACCATATCCACAGACTGGTTCACTAAACCAACTTACATAGGCAGACTTCTGAATTTCCATTCCAAACATCCTTACCACCAAAAAATTAATGTTGCTAAAAATCTCATCCACCGTAGTCTCTCCCTCTCTGATCCACAATTTCATGTTACCAATATCAAACGCATAAAAAAGATCCTGTCAAACAATAATTTTCCTCTCCATGTCATCAACAAACTTATAACAGACCACAATAATCGCTCTCCCTTAATCTCGACTTCCACTAATTCTCCACTACCCATTCTGGCCTCCATATACAGATCTCTACCTTATATTCCTAAACTTTCTGACAACATAATCAAAGTTTTACGATCTACTAACCCTAGCTTACGACTTGCATTCAAATCTCACAACACACTTTCTAAATTATACACATCCCCAAAAGATCCTGTTCCTTTCTCACACTGTTCTCATATCATTTACTGTATTCCGTGTTCTACACCCAATTGTTTTTCATCCTATATTGGTGAAACCAAAAATCTTCTAAAAGACCGCATCACCCAACATAAATATTCTGTATCCTCTCGTAATTTTACCGCCTCCAAATTATCCGAACATTATCTCTCCCTTAATCCTACATTTGATTTCGACAAAACTTCCATCCTTGCCCCCGTTACCATGACAAACGACTCATTTCTGAAACCCTCCACATCCAGCTCCAACCAAAAACAGAAAAAACTTCTCCTTAGCCTATTCCCAAATTCTGAATTTATTAAAACATCCATAGCTATATCCTTTTTGATGACAACTTCCTTAATTTTTTTTTGTGTATATATATATTTTTATATATATATATATATATATATATATATATATATATATATATATATATATATTTATATTTTTTTTTTCTGTTAGCACTACAGACCTTGTAGATCTTTGTCCGCGAGATGTGGTCTTCTAGATTAATTCTAAATCTTAGTGAGAAACATTAAGTTTGTCTTAACTGACATTAAGTATGGTAAATACTTATCACTTCCTATGTCGGAGATCTGGAAGAAAAACATAATTTCATTACCACTTTACTTGAAAAATATTTAAAAGCTTTAGAACAATTAATTGTAGTAATTTTTGCTGAAAACGAGGGTACTTTTAGGTGACTGGATAGAAAATCACATCATTTCTTTATCCAACTTGAGGTAAATCTCAAAAATTTTCCAAATAAACCTCAAAATAATTAATATGAGCTTAAAGTTTATTAAAAAGGAAGGTTTTTTCTAAAAGTGAGGTAACTTTAGTACAGTTGAAAGGAGATAGAAAAAAAAAATCAAATATTTTGTGAATTTTTTTTTGACAAACTCTACTTTCGTTTGAAGTAAATTTTACCTAGTTTACTATGAAGCAATGTTTAATTACTTAAATCAAATATTCTTTTAGTTATTGCTTCCTATTTAAAAAAAGTGACTCACTTCAAAAAACACAATCTTAAATTTCCTACTTTTCTGCTGGAAATTGGGCAGGTGTTTGTATGAAATTTTTTGTAGATCATAATGTCTACTAGTCCTCCTTTTAAATGAAAGAAAGCTCTGTATGTGCTAGTTATACGCTGATCTATTTCTGGCCGTTGGTCATTCATTAGGTTATTGTGGAGACGAGGTATTTGAATTTTTTAACTCTCGAAAATGATTTACCTTCTACTCACCCAATTTTCTGGTGGAGTTTTCACTTTATTATCATATATTTTGTTTTGTCTTCATTTACTTGTAGGCTGATCTGCTCTGCCTCTCTTATCAGAGTCTTAATGAGTTTTTCTCAATTTTCTCTTGATTACTTCCAAGGACAGCTATATCAACTATGTATCCAAGGAATTTATGGTTCGTTCCGTCGTGGACCCCTCTATTTTCCTCTGATGTTATTCTTATCACCTTCTCCAGGGCTAAGTTGAACAATATTGGTGATAGTCCATCTTCCTGCCTTAAGCTCGTTCAAACTTTGAAGGCTTCAGATATTTCTCTTTGTATTAGGACATGAATGTCCTGAGCTACTTCCATCATTGTTCAAGTACTTGTTTTAGGATGAAGATCTGGTCTAGTGTGCTCCTTCTTTTTTCTGAATCCAGCTTGGTGGTCGCCTATTATATTTTCATGGTACGGATATATCCGGTTTAGTAGGATATTGGATATTATCTTGTTGGCAACCAGAAGGAGTGTTATGCCTCTGTAATTACTACACACACATGGAGCCTTTCTATAGGATAGAACAGATTAGGCCCGTATTCCAAACCTTAAGTATTCTTTCCTCTTCCCATATTTTTTGGATTAGTTGTAGTAGCTTGGTTCTTAAGTCGTCTCCCCCATCTTTAAACAGTTCTGATGGTATGTTGCCTATCCCTGGGGCCTTTCTTGTTTTAAGCCTTTTGATAGCTATTAGAGTATATATTTACATATTAGAGTACATCTAAGTGCTATTTCTATTTCTGCTTAAATAAGCATTTCAAAACCAAACTCATCTCTCGCAGCACAAAGACACAGCTTTATAAAATGCTCATTCGTCTGGTACTGATGTATGGCTCTGAAGCCTGGACCATGACGCAAGGAGACGAGTGAGCCCTAGCGTTATTTGAGCAGAAGGTACTCCGCTGAATCTATGGTCATGCGCGCCATTAACAGAATTGGAGGATTAGAAACAACACAGAGCTTTACAATCTATTCAGGGAGCCGGATATCATAAGAATCATAAAGCTTGCAAGACTGCAATGGGCAGGGCATGTGGCGAGGATGCAAAACTATGAAATCCCCAAAAAAACTATGGAGAACAATGAACAAGGCTCTAGGAAAGTAGAAAGACCATGGCAGCGCAGGATAGGGATGCCTAGTGGACATGTCTTGAGGAGGCCAGGACTCTTCATGAGTTGTAGTGCCGTGGAAGAAGAAGAAGAAGAAGAAGAAGAGTACATCTAGTTTTTCTTGATTCCGTTTCCTTGATGGAGATTTATTCATTAACTTGAGAAGTTCCTGGAAATGTTCTTTCCAGATGCTCAATTTCTTTCCTTTAGATGCTGTCAAAATGCCAGCTTTTCTTTACATTTGCATATTTTTCGATTTATATTCTACCCTTTTTTTTCTAATGTCTGCGTAGAATTCCATATATCTTCAGCCTGCCAGTTGTTCTCAATGGTTTGTAACATTTCTTTAAGAAATAACCTTTTGCCGATCTTATAATTTTGTTTGCTTTTTTCTTGGCAGCTATGTACTTGTCCTGAGCAATTTGATCAGTTGTAGTTTGGCAGAGGACTTTCATTTTTCTTCTTTCCTCTACTGCCTTTTCGCATGCTTCTGCGAAATATATCTTAGCTGTTTGTTTCTCATGAATACTTATCACTTTCTTAGCTGTTTATTTTAATCCTTTCTCTATTTCCTCTCAGTGTTGGTCCACCATGAGGCTCTCTGAATCCAAGGGTTTGAATTTATTTTTCTGCTCAAGTTGGAATTTGGTTTTTACTTCTAGGCTTTTCATATTACAGACTTTGTACCTCTTTTTTCTACTTGATCCCCTGTTTTGTGAATTAGCTCCAATCTCTGACATGGCTTAATTCTAATCAGAGAATGATCCGAATCAGTCTGCTCCATGATAGCATTTTACATCTTGTATTGAGCTCTGATGTCTCTTGCCTACTAGCACATGGTCAATTTGGTTTTTTGCTCTTTTGGTGCTGATTCAGGTGTACTTGTAGATATCCTTGTGTAAGAACATTGTACTGCTGACGACTAGACCTTTAGCTGCTGGTAGACTGATTCATCTCACTCCATTGTCATTGCTATTTTTGTGAAGGCTTTGGCCTCTGATAATGGGCCTGAATTGGGGTTCTCATCCTATATTTGCATTGAAGTCAGCGGTGACTAATTTTATGTCATGTCTATGAGCTTGGTCCATAATATTTTCTAACCAATCGTAGAAATCATCCTTTACTTCATCTTTATCTTTGGTTGGTGCATACACGTTAATTATCGTGATATGAAACCAACAACTTTTAACTTGTAATACAATAATCCTTTCGTTTATCGGGGTGAAGTTTATGATTAATTTCCTTGCCGCTGGACTAAACATAAATCCCATGCCAGCTGTTGCATTTTTATCGTTTCTTACCGGAATAGAATAGTGTGTGGCTGTTGATAATGGTTTCACTACTTTCTGACCACCTTACCTCTTGAATGACTTGAGTTCCAAAAATCTTCCTGTTATATTCTAATAAATCATTCATAGCATTTTAATTTAATTATTTATTTCTCTCTATTTTCAGGATGGAATATAATTTCAGAAGGTATAAAGGTGATACCTGGTACTGTGAACACTTGCTGTCAGATTGTGGAATCTGGTCATTTACTGGCAGTTTCTCCTGGTGGAGTGTATGAAGCCCTGTTTGGTGATCAGAGCTACCCGATTATGTGGAAATCCAGAGTGGGGTTTGCTAAAGTAGCATTACAAGCAAAAGTTGTAAGTGGTCTCAATCTTTTAAAAAACAAATATAATGTTCTAGAGGAAGCATTTTTTAAGCTTGATTAGAATTTTTTAATTTTTTTTAATTTTGGAAATGAAGTAATTTGTTTATATCACCTATTTACTAATACTTTAAGCACTTAATTTTCATAAAGTAAGAGTGTGTATAAGTTGATACTCGCCCATTTACTAATACTTTAAGCGCTTTATTTTCATAAAGTGAAAGTAAGTATAAGTTGATACTTGATGCTTTTATCAATTATAAAATAAACTGAGCTACAGGTGATTCTTAATTTAATGTAGTTCCACATAGGCAACATAGTACTTTTTTATTTAGTTATTGCCACAAGCAGAACAATAATTACCCATACGATACCAACTGTGAGGCGAGATGACCGAGTGGTGCAGTCAATGAATGATTACAGAAGGAAATGGCAGGGACACAATTTTTGACTTTGGTAGATTTTTTTGACTAGCAAAAAAACAAATATACTAAAAGTCCTCACTACTAAGTGGTAAGCCAGGGAGGGAGGAGGAGGCCCCTAGAAGGTCACTTTTTTCGGGGTTTCACTTATATGAGGATAACTATCTATCGCATTGGCAAAAATGTTCTATATAAAATTACAGCTAATACAATTTTCAATATGATTAATAATACACCATTTTTCATATCTCTTAGTTTCAGAATTATCCGTTCCTAATTATCGCTAATTTGGGAAAAACAATTGTACCTCATGTTTTTTAGTGTATTTGACTAGCTAACTCTTGGCTGCTTCGTACTACAATTAGGTCATGGGAACGAAAGTTTTTAATTTAAATTTAAATTTTCATCAAGAATATATATAATTTTACTAGTTTATCTTCAATGGTTCAAAAGTTAGATAGATAAATTATAACATCCATTATAATATCCAGTACAATTATAAATATAGTTGAGAAGATTTTATTTTATTCTTTAGTTGTTTACATACTATTATTTAAGTTGTTGTATATATGGTTTGAATTTTTATTAAATTAGTTTTTGGCCAGATATGTATTTTTTCTTTTGTAAATTCATTATTGTTATTCTAAGAGGACATTGTCCCAGAATAAAGTTTATTTTCTATTCTAACAATATTTATGACAGGACTAGGTATAAACTATATTCTTCTCATAGTTATAAACTATACATTTTTATCATTTGTGTCTCCTGACATTTTAGTCAGGGAAAACTTTCATTAAATAGGGAAAAGTCAGGGAATTTTACACTAACGTAAAATTTTACTCTAAAGTTTGGTAGCCACCCTGTGTAAGGGCCTTATATAGTTTATTAATTTATTAAATTTTGATTATTCTTTCCTTTAGTTTTTTTTTTTTTTTTTTTTTTTTAAGAAATAAGTGTTTCAGCTTCTTTCACTTTCATTGTATTCCACTTCTTTTGTGCTGCTGATTTGCATATCTTTGCACTTGAGATTCTCGCCTTAATCTGAGAAATGATGAATTAGTGGTCAAAGTCTATGTTTCTGCCCTTATATGCTCTGTTGTTTAACAGATCAACTCTATGTTGCACACTAACTAGCAGATGGATTCCTCATCCCGGGGATACTGGGGTTCCTATTGTCATTTTTTCGAGATACAGCAAAATTTATAATCCTTTTCTCATTTTCATTGTGCTCTTCATGGATACTGTTGAGACCAATGGTTGGTATACTTCTTCCTTACCAATTTTGCCATTATTAGCATTAAAATTTTTCAACAGGATCTTAATGTCACTGCTAAGATAGGAAGGTAAGGTGAGTAGTCATAGGGTGTGAGGTGTGGGTATCCTTGTGTCAGTTAACATGTACAGTGTTGTACTGAACTCAGGTACCTGGGGGAGCGTTAATCCACGCCAGCCATACACAAGGATCTAGCCTCCTGTAGAAAGGATCTAGATTGTAACTTGAAAATCCTATCAGCCAAGATTTACCAGGTCCTCCACCTGTGAAAGGAGTTTTCTCTCTTTAGCAGGTTTTCCAAACTCCTCTGCACTTTTCAGCAGTTTTAGTCTTTTTTTCAGAAGAAGACTTCTCCCATAGTGAAGGAGCATAGAACAGCTTGTTTTATGTTTTGCAAAACCATTTCCGATTCAATATTGGAGGGTCTTTTTGGAATACCATGGAACTTTCTGAGACCATTTGTGCTCAGAGAGCCTCTTCTGATGCGTTTGATAACTTATTATTCATCCTCAATGCATACTAAAAAAATCCTCATAAAATGAAAGTGGCAAACATAAATAAATAAAATTATTATAAATAACAAAACAGAACTAGTTTTTAGCTAGCCAAAATAAAGATATCCTGGCTGGAAACTAGGATTAGGGAGGGTGCCGAAGGATGTGTACAGAATAAGATGAAAAATTAAATACATACAAATATCAGTTCATATCTTACAATTTCTCAAAAAGTAAATGTGTGTTTCTTTTCAAAAATGTAAGGTATGTCCATTTTGGGTTACACCTATTGGGAATCTTACTTTCAGAGTATTTACTAATAAAACAAGATAAATGGTGAAATATTCAATGATAGAAGGGATTCAGGCTTCTAAAGATCCCATTTAGACAATTTCAGACCATTCCAAAAGCTTAATATTCTTAAGCAACCGTTAATGGGTGCCGAAAATTAGGGGTTTGACCCTAACTTTCAAATTTCTTGTTAAACTTACCTTAATGTATGCAAGTTATATTTATAAATTAACATGTATTAAAAAAAATTTGTTTCCTTTAATTATTTCAAATGGTAATTTTACAGCCAATTATTCCCATGTTTACTGAAAATGTACGTGAGGCATTCAGAACAATGGCTCCAATGAAAAGTCTCTGGCTGAAATTATATAACTGGACAAGGCTTCCAATTATGCCAATATATGGTGGATTTCCTGTCAAGTTAGTTACCCATCTTGGCAGTCCTCTTTTACCATCACCTAACAGCACTCCACAGCAACTGCAGAAAGAGGTAAATAATTAAGTTTTTTGTTGTTTTATTTTTATATATGTATACCTTTATGATTCAAGAACGGAGGTAAGGAGCGAATTAACAGGTTCCAGAATCTAATCTTGACCATTTGGGAGGAAGAGGTTTTGCCGGAAGACTGGAAAAAGTCAGTTATATGTCCTATCTTCAAAAAAGGTGACAAACTGCAGTGTAAAAATTACAGGGGTATCTTTCTTCTCTCTTCTGGATATAAGATCCTGCTCCAGCATCTTCTATCCTTTGCAGAGCAGAAGCTTGGTCCCTTTCAATACGGATTTAGACAAGGAAGATCAATGACAGACCAAATATTCTGCCTCAGAACAATCCTAGAAAGAGAAAACGAACTGTACAAGGCACTTGAAGGATTCAATATGCCAGATAAGCTAATATGACTGGTAGAGCTGACCATGAGAGATGTCACTTGTACTGTGCAGGTTGGTGGTCAAAGGACAGAAGAGTTCTCAACCAAAGGACTTCGCCAAGGTGATGCGTTAGCATGCCTCCTGTTTAACTTGGCTTGTGAGAAGGCAGTGAGGGATTCTGGTCTGCAAACTAATGGGACTATTTACAATCGGATGGTTCAGCTATTAGCCTTTGCGAATGATTTGAACATCCTGGGGTGGTCGTTACAGTCTAGTAGAGAGGGATTTTCAGCTTTGTTGCAGGCCGCCAGAGTACTTGGGTTAGAAGTGAATGAATTAAAAACTAAATATATGACTACAGGAGAAGTCCCTTGACCAGACAAGACCATCAATATTCACCTCTCACCTTCTATCCCAGCAGAACAAGCTACATCTTTACAAAACACTAATCCACCCAGTTCTGCGGTAGGTTCCATTCTGGGATTATTATTCCAATAAGGAGATGTCCCAGCCATCTTAGTCTATTCTCTTCTATAACTTCATGGGCTGGTTTAACGTTAAGGTTCGCTCTAATTGTAGTGTTGCGGATTCCGTCTCCTCTTGTTTTCTCCTCAATTTTTCTGAAAAATCTCATTTCTGACGCTTGTATTCTTGGTTGATGTTTTTTTGTTAGCATCCATGAATCCGAGGAATACGTCAGAGTGGGGAGAAATGCTGACCTAAACACAACCCCTTTTGTCTTCTTGTCCACCTCTCGTCTGTTCAGGAAGCCTCTCTTAACCACTTCAAACATTCTGCCAGCACTTGCCTTTCTCTCAGTAACCTCCGTATCAATATAACCATTTTCATTCAGGTGCGAGCCTAGATATTCGAAATTTTCCACTTGTTCGAGAACCATGTCTTCAACTCTAATAACATGCATAATTCTTCGTGGCTTCTTCCCGAACCTCATTACTTTTGTCTTTGTAGGGTTTATGACCATGTTGATCTGAAGAATTTCTTCTTTTAATCTGTTGATGTTGTGTTCGAGATTCTTGTTGTCTTATGCAAAAACAACAATGTCATCGGCGAATGCAAGAAATGCGTGTCACTGGTCTTAGATTGGCATATCCTAGATGGAATTTCCTTATATTCTCCTTGGTCCTCCGAATAGCTGCATCAATAACGAAAATGAACAGTAGTGGACTCAAGCTATAACCTAATTCCTATTGTGGTTTCGATTTCTTGAGATGTACAGTTGGCAAACCTTATATTGCTTCTTGTACAAACTTTCCACTGCCAGTATATTTCCTTGATCTACTCCCTTACTCTTAAGGCCTCTGAGATATCCATTTTTCATACTCTGTTTGGCTTCCTCTAATTCGTCTTTGTTGATAAAGTCATCCTCTTCCCAGGTATTTCCTTCAATATGCTCTTCATTTACTTGTTTTGTGTCTCTATTCTCTTCCAGTAAATTTCATCAATTTATTGGATTGAATTCAACAAAATCGGAACTCCAAATTTTCTTCTGAAATCGGTTTCTGATAAAATATTTAATGTGGGACTGAGAATAAATTTGAATAATTATAAATCCCTCTCTAATAATGAAAAATTGTTACCTAATTTTATGTAAAATTAAAGATGATTTATTAGTAAATATATTATTAGTAGTAGCTGTGATTACGGTCCCTGGGTCTCGACTTTGGCCGGGATTGTTTCGATTTTTGCCTATCTTAAGAAGTCTCTAAAATAGTCATTTTTAAAAATATTTTAATGGGAGTTGGATTGATGTAAAGATAAATACAAACGTAAATAATCATTATATCTTATATTTACTGGGGACCATAACCGCAGCTAATGTGTTAATAATTGAAAGAGTAACATTTTTTTTTTTATTTTACCTAGTTTGCATATTGTTTTTTTCTAGACTTAGATGTAATTATGATAGTAAAATGAATCCTGGCAACTCCTTATCCTTGCCAATCTGCCTTTGGCTTCAAGGAAAAAGGGTGAACTGACAAACTTATTGTAAGGATACTAGTGTAAATTGATTGAAATTGAAACTCAGAGCTGTTATTTTAAGGTTCCATTGCATCCTTAAATCACTTAGCAATAGGTAGAACAAGCTTTATAAGATGAGATATTACTTGAAATGAGTTCTTGTTTAAGTAGACTTAATAGATAAAGCTATTAGAAGCAACATTTAATATTGAAATTAAAAATTGTAATGACAACAACTACAACAGCAACCTATATAATTTCATAATATATTATAAATTAGTTGTTAAGTACTAATTGAGAAATACAATTATTAGACTAAGAGGACTGAAATATAGTAAACTGGATGCCGAGGTGTGGTAAGTAATTTAGAAAATTGAACCTTTTCTGTATGACTAATAGAATTATTCCTTAGGAAAAATACTTTTTAGTGTAAAAAATTGAGTTAAAACTAACCCAAAACTTTTCTGAGGAAGATTATTTTTTAATCAGGTTAATGTTTTCATTGTTCTGATTTTCAGTGTGCTGAAGCCATCAGTGCACTAATAGAGAAACATCAGAGATTGCCTGGATGTATGATGCTAGCTGTTGCTGATCGTTTGTACAGGAAGCCTAAGCTTGACTGATTTTCCTTCATCCGTTTTTTTTTTTGTACTTAAATTTCTTTAACATTTTATTGGTAGTTATGTACGTTGATTTATATTGGTAAATGTTTACTTTATAGAGCGATAAACCTGGAATAAATTAATTTTCGATCTGTTGATGTTGATTTATAACTATAAATTTTTGAATACCCATGAAATTTAAACAGAATAAAGATACTTAAAATATTTTATAGTTGAAGTATTTTCTGAACTAATTTTAATTTAAGTATGGCCAACATTAATATTTAAAGATGTGTTAACAGCATCAGCTGAGACGTGAGTAAATTAATCAAGTAATTTTGAATCATTCACACTAAGCACTAATGTTATTTTTTTAAAATTTATTCTCTTTAATATACCGATTGTCACAGAACTTTTCAAGATTCGGGTCTAAAAAGACAATTTTTAATTTAATCATATTACATTATTAAAAAATCGAATTGCTATACATGGTAACCTCAAATAGCACTAGAAATTCTATTAGTTGCATGAATTTGGCCCCTAAACAAACAACGAGATAACTCATAACTGCCCTGCTGGGCAAGAATACTACTATCTACAAGTTATCTCAGTAGGCAGAACCTGCTAAATTAATTTAAATGTTTATTTTTTTTTTTGCAATTGTTAATTTTTGTAATTTCACCATTTTCCATTATTTATCCTTAGTTTTACCCCACCCATTTATACTATAAAAACTTATACTGATGTATTTATATTTAGTTAGAATGTAAAATTATAATAACATATGCCAACAGTTGTTTTGATACAAGGACATTTGGAACTTATTACACATGAAAATGGTGCCCTGATTAGAAATATGGCATTAGTTTTTAATTTAATCATATGATCATTATCAAGCATCGAAAATACATCCGAGTGAGGTTGTCATCTACCTCAGCATTAAATTTTGAAAAAAGTTCAACATGATACCTTATTTGGACTATTTGAGAAGTAGGGTGACCCTAGCCCTCAACAGATTCAGTTGATTGGGAAGCACGTTTTAGGTGCTCAGATACCTAGCAATTGTGAGTATTTACAAAGGATTGTTATTTTAAGGAATTGTTATTTGGAGTACCCTTAGGTATGCATCCCTTGCCTGGAGCCAAAATCTCTCACACAGACAAAATGGCTCTGTTTCGAATCACCAGATTGTACAGGATGGTGTCCATAGTACCTTCATTATTCCATTACAAATGTTCATTAGTTCTTTAATGTGTTTTCTGTTACTAAAAGATGCTTCTGTGAATAATGTACGCTGAACAGTTCTCAAAGTAGTATAAATTGCACATGTGTCATTTCTGAAATAACCTATTCAATCATTCCCTTATAATGTATAATATTTCATTATGTGATATACAGTTTTACTATTTACAATAATATACATTCTCCCCTTACTTTATCCCAAATAATATTTCAAGGAGTTCTGTCAATCCTTATAGCCCTGGAGGCTCCAGGCTGTAGCCAGGGCCCAAAAATTGACCTTATCGCAGGCGGAGTTTGGATTGTAAATTACAAAAGTGTCTGTTATTCTGAGTAAAAAGAACCCTGGACGCAAAATTTAATGCTCTACAACTTTGTTTCTATGGGTTTTTCCTCTTAAGAAACTCATTTCCAAGTTGCAGGGCTGTTTATAGTAATTTGTTTCAGTTATTGACAAATTTGGTAAAAATCAGCATTGGTTGACCCTGGTTTTATACCTTACCACGCAACCAAATTATAAAGTTTATGTACTCCTACGACACAAAATTGTAATGTTTTTTAATTTATTGGGGAGTACGTTTTTCGCTTTGATACATCGTTTAGGAGTTATAGGTGAAAAAAATATATCGAAAAAAATCCGACTAGGCTGTAAAAAGTTTTTCCTTGGTGGCCCACATTAGAAATTTTGTTTTTCCCATGTCTAAACCCATATATACAAGTTAAAAAAATAAAAACTTTTCTCACAATTTTCGCAGTGGATTTTTCGTTTCGATCCTCAAATTACTGGCTCAATATTCTTTAAAGCAGTGGCTCAGGAATGGCAGTGTTTGTGTGAAAATGGTTCTAATTTCCCCTCGTTACGGCGAGTGGTGGGGGCAGATCAGAAGATCTGAAAATAAACACTTGATAAAGCTATAAATGATAGAAAGAAAAGGATGTTTCTTCGAATTCAAACCACATTCCATATGATTAAGGATCTCTCTGCTAGAAAGGAAATATTTATGGTTAGGGCTTTGGAAATTAGAGCACAACTGGAGAAATTTGAAGCAGTATTGAATAAGACTTCCGTGCTAACTGAATCGTTAGAGGAACAACATAGGATAGAAGTAAACGCATCATCTTTAGCACAAGAAATTAATTAAAGCTGAGTTCATAGTTCCCGCTTCTCAACCCGTTTGAACCAGTAGCATACCCTAAATTGCCAGATTTACAAATTCCTCAATTTTCCGGTCAGTACGAACAATTTCCTTCATTCAAACCATTATTTTATGATGCCTTAATTCATCATCGAAATTACACAGATATAGTAAAATTTTCATATCTCAAATCACTTCTAGTTTATCCTGCTTCACAAGCCATTTCTTCAATTTAGTTTAGTGCAGAAAATTACAGCTTGGCCTATCATAAATTAGTAAATCACTATATTAATAAAAGCACCATTGCGGCTTACCATCTTAACAAAATTATACGGGTTAAATCATTTTCTGTTGATAATTTTTCCAACTTTAGAAGCTTTCTGGATACATTTGAAGATAATTACAATCCCTTAAAAAATCTTAAACTCCACAACCTCGTTGATTTTATTTTGATGCATCTTGGACTGAAAGTTGTGGATCCTATTACAAGAATGTTTGAGAACAGTCTCAGCGAAGAGACAGTTCCTAACTTTGAAGAATTTTTCAAATTTGTTAGGTCACAACTTAGAGTCGCAGGAATGTGCTCCAAGCCTTGTAAATCCAAAACCACCCAGCCTAAAGTTCAGCGAAAAACATTTTTAGCAAGCAATAGACCGGATAAGCAGAAATTTAAGTTAGAATGCCCAGTTTGTAAATCGAGCCATAAAATTATATATTATCCTCAGTTTCTAGATGCTGATGTTAATGGTTGCTATGACCCACTAAAGAAGTCTGATTTATGCTTTTCTTGTACAGGACCTCATCGCTTGACGAATTGCCAAAGTAAAGGCTGTTGCCAAGTTTGTGGTAAAAAGAGTCACCATACAATGTTACATAAGGTTGCCAACACTGAGCCCTCTCAGTCTCAAGTAGTAAACAATTCTCGTGCAGTTTCGTGCCATTCCACCAACACGCAGGTACTTCTGGGTACTGCGTTAGGTAGAATTTGTTTAAGTTCAGGTTAGTGGTATTTATGCAGAATGGTGATAGATCCAGGTTCACAAATCAATTTAATTACCACTGATCTAATGAAAAAGTTGGACCTTCGTTCCCGGGTTAGTCATCTTGTGGTGTCTGGAGTAGACAATACCTCCATATCTTCAATTTCTGCTGAGGTTAAAATGAAGTTGGGTTCAACGAGAAATAACAATACATATGAGTTTTCAGCCAGAGTATTGCCCTGTATAAATGGAAGTTTTCCGGGTCGTAAGAAGCATGGAATAAATTTGCTTCCATAGAACTTGCCGACCCTCAATTCCATACGCCAGGAAAAGTTGATCTTCTAGGTGCTGAGATGTACAGTGAGGTTTTAAGTGACTCTGTTTTATTTCTTAAGGGTCAACCGAAAGCTATTCATACCTCATTAGGATGGGTATTGTTTGGGGATACCCTCTCAGAAAGTCAAAGCCCTATACCTTCAGTACGTACTTTTTTCATGCAGACCAGCCCTTCCTTACAGGAGGAATTAAAGCAATTTTGGGAGACTTAGGAAGTCACAGTTTCGATTCCGCTGAATCCTGAAGATGAATTTTGCGAAGATCACTTTATAAATACATGCACTCGTTATCTTTAGGGTAGCTTCGTTGTTTCGCTTCCGTTCCGTTCTGAACAGCCGATTAGCCTTGATTCCGCTAGAGAGATTTAGAAATCTGGAAAATAGATTTAGGAGAGATCCAGAGTGTAATCTGCCTATGCTGCACAGATAGATGAATATGTAAGACTGGATCATGTCCGCCTTGCCAAGAACCCTTCTCTATACGTCATGACCCATCATGGAGTCATTAAAGATTCTTCCACGACAAAACTTAGAGTCGTATTTAACGGTTCGGAGAAGATGGTGGGAGGGAACTCACACAATGATTTGTTTTTGACCAGTCCGCAGCTCCAGACTGATATTGCGTATCTTATAGATCATTTTAGATGCTTTCCTGTGGCCTTAGCATGGGATATAAAAATGATGTTTAGGTGTATCCGCATTACCGCAATAAATCAGAACTTATTACGTTTTTTTTTTGGAGAAGTGAGTCTTCACAGCCGATCCAGGAGTATGAGTTGGTTACCTTACCATTTGGGTTGAAATGTTCTCCCTTTATTGATCAGAGAGTCATTCTACAGTTATTTCGGGAAGAAGGCCATAATTTTCTTAAAGCTACCCAGTGTCATGACCAGATTTATGTGGATAACGTAATCGCTGGTGCTCGCAATAGTGATGAGGCTCTGGATCTGTATAATTAATCAATGGCCTTATTTGCAACAGGTGGGTTTGAACTCAGAAAGTTATCCAGTAATTCCGAAAAAGTACTTTCTGTATACCTGAGGGTATTCAAGAAATTTCGTTGTGCCTGGGTGGAGATTCCTCGAATGTCAAGGTATTGTGTTTGTTTTGGGATCCTAAACACGATCGTTTCAGATATTCAATACAGGAAAGTGAATCTATTTTTATAAAGCAAGGTATTTTATCTTTCATTGCCCAAATTTTCGATATAGATGGAGATATCAGTCCGGTAATTTTTCCGTTAAATGCCTATTACAACGTTTGTGGCTGCTTAAGGTTGTTTGGGATGATGAGTTGCTCTCTAGTGTGTCTTCGTTGTGGAAGATTTTCCTTGCCTTGAATTTCCGAGCTTGAAAAATGTTTGCCTGCCTCCTCGTATTGTCAGCCAGAATGCATCATTCATGCAACTAATCGTCTTTTCAGATGCATTCAAGAAGTTGAAGGAGCTGTACCAATTTGTTAAGGGCCGTTGTGAAACCATTTCTGACCATTTGAGTTGGACGGGTATAAAGTGGACCTTTA